TTGATTTCAATAGAATTTTGAAAAAATTGTCATGTAGAAGATAGGGAAATATCCTTAGAATCCTCTGATTTAGGGAAGAATTGATGTTTCATAAGAGGGGTGTGTGTGTGTAAGAGTGAGAGGACGGTCTGACGTATAAGATTGAGATAGTATCGAGGTGATCAGTTTCAAAGATCACAGGTGCGATATTGCTGGTTGTAAAATGAATCGTTGTTTAAGAAGAGTTGCCGGTTTTGAAATTAAGCATGAAAGGTTAGGAATACGGCTCAACAAAAATTGTATGGTAATGAGATGACGACAACGACGATGATTAGGAGGATCTAACATTTTACCGTGTGATACAACATGCCAGAAGGCCACCGAGTCACATCTTCGTTAACCAAGTTAGCATCATCAGGAGGAGTTGACCAAGCAAAAATCACATTCCCACTTTTCGATAACGTCATAACCCAAGGATATGATCTTATTTATTTTTGCAAAGGTCATATCATAGCGATGAGCCATTATTCCGGACGGACAATTTTGGAGAGGAGTATCTCTCTGATGGTCGGAACACCTAGGACTCTCGTGATAAAAATAACCCTGAAACTTGAGAACCTGATTGGTTTCAGTACATCAACCATCAACTCTGAAATTGCCAACGAGCGCCTCAAAAGAAACGACATGCTTGTTGAATTTTTATATTTCGCTGTTTTCCTCCCAAAGCAACCATTGGATGGCTACCACAGACTGATTATTACGACGTTTGTAACCACCCTCAGGAATAATGCCAATGGTATCTGATTTCGGAAAATTCCTGCGAAATATTTTATTGCATGTTGAGGCAATCGCTATGGATTCCGTGAATGGATATAATTTCGTTTCAGTCAACATGTGTTGACGAAACTACAAACAGGCTTTAGTCAGGATATCAACATCCGAAACACAATAATCTATGATTTCTCGAGAATGAACACACATTCGTTTCAGTCAACATGAGTTGACGAAATTGCAAACAGGCTTCGGTCAGGATATCAACATCCGAAATACAATAATCTATGATTTCTCGAGAAAAATCAAGAACATAATTTTCAGCGACTCTTTTCGAATGCCATTTCATGAGGAAAGAACCGGCCTCTGAAACAAGACTATCCGGGGAATGAAATTCAAGAGAGGAAATGGAACCCTTGTAATTTTGATTTTTCGCACACACATTTGAAAATATGTGGGCAGTACCCCTTTTTCAACTCTGCACAAATGGATTTGACATAAATTCCTCACTCTATATCGTAAAGACTTTCTCTCAATTACAGTTCAAATGTCTCACTGAATTTAATTTTTCTCTAGGTCTAAAGAAATTTTGATTCTGTTAAACAGCTAACTGCCTTCGTGTTACATTACTATTTTGAGATTTTCAAGACAGAAATAAACACCTTATCGCGTTATATTTTTCATGACAACTCTGCAATATTTTTCGTGACGCATTACAATGCAAATCATATGGGTTTTTTGAAAAAATGGGGTTTGAAAAATGCATTTCTTTCTATGTGTTTAGAGTGCCCAAAATGACCGTTTCAACGCTTTAATATTTTTGTGAAACTTTTATGCGAGTTTTCGCGATGGAAATGAACACTTCATCACATTATATTTCTGTGAAATTTTCGATACGATTTTCAGATGTGCATCGAGATCATAAATTACAAATGACAGGCGGTCAGTTCGACATCTCCTGATGATACCAACTTGGTTAGCAAAACACCATAAATGACATATGATAGTACACTTCAAATAAGTCTAATATAATATAAATTGATTTGAAATCCCTGAAAATAAAATAAAAAGATTAACCGAAAAATAACAATTTTATTAAACAAAAAACTGAAATTACAAAGAAATAACATACAAGCAACAACCAAAAAAATTAAAAATTGAAATAAATATTAATACAATCTGAAAATTAAAAAATTGTATTAACAAAAAATGAAAAATAAAAAGATTTCAAACCAAGTTACGTCACGACATTTCGATTGTTAGTATCCACAATCGGCTTCGGTTATTACCCGAAGACGATTGTGGACAGACATTACCCTCTCTCCAGGCTAATGACCAAGACTGTCACGCCGACGACCTGGGTCCAATTCTCTAACCAATACCTTTTTTATTTTATTTTCCCATGAAATTTCCAGCCGTCAATAGTCACTGGGACCGCGTAACTTGTACGCTTGGATAGGTGGTCTGTCTCATCAAAGTAAGAACAATTTGAATTTTCCGCTGTGCGCACGGTAGCTTGATTGGTCGACTGGGTAATGACGAAAAGTGGAGGAGTGGGGGTGGATTGGAGAGCCCCACACCAGAAAGTTTATTTAACACTGCTTGGTTGATGTTTTTAGGGGGCAACTGATAGATGATTATAGATGAATCGGCCATTTTTCTAGACTCATTGGAATCACTGACCATAAAGAACAATAATAAATGACCTAAATGGTCAGCTATATTTGGCTGAACTACTTTACACTCGAAAACATCAATAGGAAGTGTAGTTACCATGTAGTCAATGCATGTAGAACCACTGTCTTCATTTTTGCTTGTGAATATTCTAGAAGGGCCCATGTAGTTACTATGAAACACTTATATACATAAAAAATGTTTGGAAGTTTCGTATGTTTATCCGATTGTTTCATAAAGTCAATATTGAAATACCCACATAAGATCAAATAATCAGCACAATTATAGGCTACATCAACTACCCGGATCAAACCTTAATGTAAGTGTTAAATGTCACCATCTGGGGATCTACAGACTGAAATTACACAAATTTTTACATCTTCAATTTCAAGACTAATCGTATACTGTTCAATGTAACATTCTACTGTCTTCTGTTTTAGTTCTACAAGACAGAGCCGTAAAATGCCTTCATAAAGTTAAATCTTATGCAGAGAACTCTTCACTTGCAATAGACAGTTTACAAACAAACACAACAAAATCAAATTTAGTTATCACTCCTTATTCCATTCAAAACAATGATTAGTTTTAGACTCCCTATCGACTGAAGTTGGGAATTAGATATTTTATAATGGGGCTGAAATATACAATCATCTATCAAATACATGATAGACCAGGGCTGAAGCCTTCAAAAATAGCAAAATGTGAAAAAAAAAAAAAAATTCTAAAAAAGGGGTGATTTTAACGACCCCTAGCGACAAAACCGTTTATTTTTGTGAGTTGGCGCGATAGTAACATTAGTTGAAAATTACAAAGACTACATCATATCAAAAATTCAAAAAAACCCACCAAAAAATTCCATAAGGATTTTGCGCAGTCCTCTGACTATTACACAAGACCTAAAAATGATTTACATTTAAAAAAAATACATACAATTAAGGAATTGAATGATCATCTGACACAAGCTGTGAAAGTGTTTAATGAATCGCCATTGACTGTGCATGAGTTAACTAATTATTTGAAAGAGCTTTTCAGGAAGAAACAAATGTTACATTAGGGAAGAACATACAGTAATACTCGTATAAAAGCTAACTCAAAAGTTTCTGTTATTTAGAATATTATATTTTATGTTGTTACTATTGTAAATAATAAAATATGTTATGATATATGTTTATTTATATTGTATATTTTTCAGATGATAAGTTATCGACTTGCATATTAGAGTTAGGACTATACTTGTTACACTTTGTCATCAAGTTATTCTTACGACATTGTATTTATTATTGTTACTATAATAACTGGAACAATATACCAGAAAACCCATCATTATTTGAAAATATATTCTTGGTAACATTGATCACACTTTCTACGGAGTTGAAAATGTGATCTGAACATACAACTAGCTGCAAGATTTGGAGTCTGATTGAACCAACATTGAAATAGAAGTATGGAATGGATATAAATGAAATTATCAACTGAAACAATGTTATTTTGGTATATTTCTAGTCATATCAACAATGCATTTCAGTTAAATGGAATGTTAGGAAAACTACCACTAAACTTTTAAAAAACATATTATGCAAATATATTTAAAATGAAAAAATGAACACATGTTCTTTCCACCTAAAATAATAGCAACATGGTAAGTATATATAATTAAAAATCTCATTGTCAATCAACATATATAAGTATCAACAGTGCGTAAATTTCATTTCAACTCAAATCTATCTATTCTAAAATCCTTTCCCCAACTAATTGAAATGTAAAACATTGTCCTTATTCAATAGAAACAAATGTAATTGCTGACCCTTAAATCGAAATGTTGTAATTTGGAACTGAAACTAATCAACAGTTTATTTACAAAAAACTTACATGTATATAAATGCCAATTATATTAAAAAATTGTATATATTGTGAGGGAAACAAAGGATATTATTTTTCCATATCCCCGAGAGCAAAATCTATCATATTATGGTAAACAAGAGAAGGAGCTTGTGTATCATGAAAAACACGTAGCTCGCCAGTCAGTCTTTGGTGAGACTTTGAGATATAACATTCGTCCTTGCAGTCAACGCACATACCACTGTTGATATCTGCCCTGATAACAGACGAAACGTTTGGTCCTATCAATTAATTAAACGTTATAATAGAGTTAATTACAATAACATCTTTAAAATAAAATAAATACAAAACTAATCTTGTTTTTGAAATAGATCATTCGCATATTACTAAATGATTTGAGTCCACCTTCTGTATCAACATGAAAAACATTTTCAATCTGGATGTTTCAGATATACCAAAGTTATTCTGATAAAATATATTATATTTGCTCTTATTCACTGATATGAAACGTTATTCATTTCCAAACAACAACCATTGTGAAATGCGATTATATGGAAAAATAATACATATACCCTGTTATGTACAACCAAAAAAAAATCTATGATAATAAGCCCTCAAGGTGAACACTAAACTGATGGAAAATTAGAAGAACGCGATTATGTTCGAAATAATATAGACGGTCGAATAACTCTATAAATTTAAATTTACACTTCAGTCACACTGAATAATTAAGTAAATCAAATTAACACATTTTAATTCCGAGTTAAAATACACCTATCATCAAATCCTATTAGAGGAATACATCATTGTTTCACACATAATTTTTTCTACTTCAATTCATAAAACAAATACTTCTTGTTCTATTTCCAATTCATAATATACATTATCATCGCTTAGATATGATTTATTTTTCAAAGTAATTAAGTTGATATCATGACAAAGAAAAATGTATTTGAATCACATTTGAAATTTCTATAGATTTACTGGTTCCATATACTCCATCTGCGGATCACACAAACAATTAGCAATCATGTCACAGTGTAGATGAATGTGCTGTAATATGTGTTAAATACTTAGTGGTAATTAATTTTCATCTATGATAAACTGAATCACATTGAATCTTTCTTACTCGTTTAATGCTCATATCTTTTTGGTCACGAATCATGGTCCTTTTTTGAGGATTTCTACATCACCACTATAACAGGGTATTGTAATGTTATATTTTTATATCAAGAGTCACAAAAAATATTATTCAATAGTTATAAGTTCAAGCTTTTTGAACATAATTCTGTATATTGAATGAACTTATGTGATTTCAATTCCTATTAATTTGATCTTTTACAATCTAGAATCGAAATTCTCCCCAAGTGCTGGTATAAACTTTAAAATTGTGTTTTCTATAATTACAAATGGGCATGTTCACACTACAACGAATAGAACATCATGACGAAAGTGATGATAAGGTCTGTCCATAGTGTAGATGTCCTTATGAGGATCTGTCATTCCTTTTTTAGTTAGTGGAGTCAATGTTATCTGTTCTAGGGCAAGTCTATTCTATCAAGTCTATGAAAATTAATTTTCAGTGACAAAATTCTTTGTCGATATAAAGGAGTGAAAAAACAATTCGTTACATCTGTATTCAAGCAAGAAGTTTTCAAACAATTGAATTATGGAAAAAGAAGGACTTGAAAACTATGAATACAAAAATTCCCAGACAAAGCCAAATTTTGAGTGGAAAAAAAATACTTAAAAAACTTCGATGGTAGTAAAAATGACAGGTTAAGAAATAAAAAAATTAAAAAAGGTTTCATAAGTCGCATCATGTTTCCACATGTAATGGAAAGATTGTTATTGTCATTGTAAAAATTCACAGTGATAACATTTTTTTTATTTCAAAAAACAAACTATGGTACTAGAGATCTTAAAAAACTATTTGAAATATTCACCTCTAGGGTAACTATACTTTGAGAGAAGCAATAAGGTGCCATGGGAATGAAAAACGGATTCAATTAATGAAATTAATTTTATCAACAACACAGTAATGTTGTACCTTGACGTCTCAATATTACCTGTGCTTTCTGTATTGAAGTAGAAAAATATTAATGCACCCAAAGACTTGAATATCTTCATCAACCCAACAACCAGAAAGTGATAATCAAACTGTTGGTGAACTGCATGATTCATTCTCTCAAAATCTCAGACGCTAGTGTCCAAACAGTGTGATTTTTCATAATTTGGTTGGAAATTTATCTTACTTTTTATGTATCCAACTAACACTACAAAAAATTACGAATGTTCAATAAAAACATAATCTAGTTTAGCCTGGGAGCTCAGAGAGTGAATCACCCTGTTCGATAATATTAAATTGCAATCCACATACAAATCTATCATATCTGAGTTTTACGTGGTGGTACAATAGAGATAATACAATAGTACAACATACCTAACCTAGCTGAAATCTAACCAGATCACAGTGAGACAAGTAAGAACTTGTCTTATTTTGATACAGTCAGTACTTCATATTTCTTTTCATCATAACTCTTCAACTAAAACTGCACCCAATTACTATTTGTTGGAGGTTGACTTTGGGATGGAGCACTGAAAAAAAAAATAATTTAAGGTAAGTGAAAACGAAAAGCTAGGTAATGAAAATTTAAAGAGAACAAAATTCGGGATGACAGAGTGACAGGAACAGGAAATTCTGTAAACACAGGCGGATGTCAGGATTCCCTGTTCCTGTGGCTCAGTTTACATCGGGACTATCAAACGCAGCATCAACACCAGGTAACAAGAACCCGCCTCACCCGTAGTTGCCGCCTCATGCAACCAGAGGAATCTGCATTTGCAGAATATGTCCTACACAGACCTCTCAATAAAATATGAATAAGCTGCTGTCCTATCTAATTAAACATATAAACAAAGCACGATTTCATAGAGAGGTCATCAAGATCTGAAAGTATCACAATTTTAACAGAAAAGAAAAAGGTTTACGAGTCAACAAGAAATAGACACCCCACCAGTAGTGTACATAGCAACAGTGCGGAACAATCAGAATGACCCAGCAAAAGTACGGACCAATCAGGAGTAATCATTTGCATGGACACTCTGCCACCCTCTGAAATTTTAAATACGAGTGAACACGTAGCTCGCCAGTCAGTCTTTGGTGAGACTTTGAGATATAACATTCGTCCTTGCAGTCAACGCACATACCACTGTTGATATCTGCCCTGATAACAGACGAAACGTTTGGTTCTTCAAGTTCCTTTTGACCTCGGCCTACCAACCCGGATTTTGTTCCCTTTAATGACTTCGCCTTCACGGGAAGTTAAATGACCCTTAGATGACTGGATTCCAGCCGGATTGAGAAAACTAATTTGCTACGTTCACTGATATTTTTACTTCGTTTGTCGGGACTCTGCATTTATCTCGAATTTACAGAACTAACGCACTGAACAAGCTTTGCTGTAAGAACGGCTCCATCATCTCATAAGGCGTTTTTTCGAATAGATCAAGATTTGTTGTCTCTTCAGCTTTATTTGAGCAACCAATTAAACCTAGAAAACTGGAATGAAATAGGCCGTCACTTTCAATTTTGTTTCAGCCTGAGCATCTGTCACCACCGAACATCAGAAGAAGAAATTTGACAACCCCTCCTCTTCATATTCACCACCACCATCATAATCTTCTTCCCCCCAGGAGATAATCATACTCTTCTTGACCTGTTGCTTTCGCTAAGTTGATGACAATTTTGTTATTTGTTATTACACAGTTTGTACGTCACATCAATTCCATTCATCCTGGCATTCAGTTTACCATGGAAAAGGTAAACGAAGGAAAGATACTATTTTTGGATGTACTAGTCAACAGAAAAACTGACGGAAAACTAGGTCACACAGTTTATCGCAAACCTAATCATACTGACTGGAATCTGTATCTCAACAAAAACCTAAACTGACTTGTTGATTGTGACAGAATACAGCCGACACACCACCACAATCCCCACCATTACCCCCACTACTCTCTGAAATTATAAATTAGTGAACATGTAGCTCGCCAGTCAGTATTGTCGAGACTTCAAGATATAACCTTCGTCCCCGTACTCAACGCACATACCATTGATGATGTCTGTCGCAGTAGCAGACGAAATGTATTGAAGAACTCAAATTCTCATAATATTTACGATTTGAACAGTCATGCTTTTGATCACTAAATTTTGGACATCATTAGGCCAATCTGTTAGCATAATTCCTGTTTTGACCCACGATTATTTTATCTTGAGTAAAAATACTTAGTACACACAAAAATTACATCAACTCTTGTGGAAAGGGAAGAAAAGATAAATAACTGGTAAGATGTATTGTAGACAAGACAAGATTTATTCTGAGTGTTCTCTTACAAGGTTCAAAATGTAATGAATGTAATTTTACAAATACAATATTTCACCTAGCTAGTTAGAGAGATGGCCAGGTTGGTCATTGGAGAAAAGATGTTCGGATTAAAATAGGTAGGGAAAGGTCATAATAACGGGTAAGTCCCAAGATAAGGGGCACAAGGAACAATAAAGGAGTTGAAAATCTAGCTATTTGTAGTTTACAATATTTACATGGAAATAGGCCTAAATATAGGGGTTGCTTCAGTGAAGATATTTGGGAATATTGGGAATATAAATTTCATGAGGGTAAGTGGATTAGAAAAGACCCATACATTAGAAGACCAACTGGAAAACCCAGATTGGGAGACCCTTGAGAATAATGCAAAACTAAACAACTTAAACAAAATTAATATACAATACCTTAAATATAAATAATGCGATAAATCAATCTGTTTTGTTGTAGAAATTTTAGAGCTGGTAACTCTAGGCTATTTACTAAAAATGTAAAATTCACTATTCACTGTTTAAAAATAATAATTTGGTTAGCAAGATCATGAGACCGAACAATTCCTATTATTGGAAAATCATTCTCAAGAACAATTTTTTTCCTATTTCAAAAGTCACTTTTTATTTATCAGCAACGTTTCATAAAAAATAATTCCACCACAAAAGTTGAGTCACCGTGAAATTCAAGTTGTACTGAGTTGAACCTAAAACGATGAGCAGGCACAGTCCATCACATATTTCTGATATGTACCGCTCTTGGTGGAATCAAATGTGCCAAGTCACTTGGACACCTCCCGTGAAACTATCTATAAAAAAGAAACAAATCTCTAACCCTTCTTCGATGTTCCAGACTATCAAGGTTGCAAGTAATGTTCGTGTCTCCAATTAGGCGAATGGCTCTTTTCTGGATGGAATCCAGCAGCTTCAAGGTATGCTTAGGGACGTAGCTCCATACATGAGAACAATACTCCAAAGAAAGTGTGATCTGAACTTTATAAACCATCAATAGTTGCTGAGATGTGTACAGTTTTCCGGTTCAGAATAGTGTTCCAAATTTTTGAGAAGCAGCCTTTGCAATTCCAGCAACATGATTGTGCCAAGACATATTGGGGTCCATTTTCACCCCTAACAAACATATCGAAGCAGTATTGTCTGTCTTGACATTATTATATCAGGTTCGGATACATTTACCTTTTTGGAAAAAACTGATGCTTGAGTTTTGTGGCATTGAATTGAACCTGGTTACTTTCACCCCAATTCAAAATCACCTCTAGATTCTCATCAAGATATACAATCTGTTGCCAGTGAAGATGTGCATCCACAGCCGATATCCTGGAATCCAAATGAAATGACAAGACAAGTATGCTGTCATCAGCAAAGTAATATATTGGATTCTTGATTTTTTCCATTGAGTCGTTGATATACAATAAAAAGAGTGTTGGAGACAATATAGCTCCCTGGGAAACACCAGCGTTGATAGTAAAAGTATTCGAGAGATATCCATCGACAGCCATTTGAAGGGAATGTTCTTTCAGGAAGCTGGAGAGCCATACACAAAAATTATCTGACAAACCATAGCATCGAAATTTGGTCAGCAAACCCTCATGCCACACACGATCAAATGCCTAAGAAATATCAAACGTAACAGCTCTCGAATCTTCATGTTTCTCAATTGTGTTATTCCAAATATGGGTGACATACAATAGAAGGTCACCTGTTGATCTTTATTTCCGAAAGCTATATTGATGGTCATTCAAGATATTAAAGCCTTCCAAATATTTAAGGATATGGTGGTTTATGGATTTCTCCATGATTTTTGATATCATTGATATCACTGATTTTGATGATTGCCTAATCTAGCCCAATCACATTGACAGTATTACACGTAAACTGTCTAGTGCTCTTTTTGTTCTGAGGTTAGTGAAAAATGTGATGGCCCAGTAACATTAAAGATTGCTTATTATTTACTAGTGTACTAAGTATCTATTGGATTTTGATTTGGAACCACTCAACAAACGCCAAAACTGATTTAATATCAGTTTTGATTTAATATTTTATTTAAAATCTGCTAAATCTAGAATCTGCTCACAAGAAATTTTTATTCTTCAAAGAGGAATCTATTATTTAAAAGGTTTTGATTACCATACTCTTCTCAATCTCAATTAGTTTTTCTGCAAGCAATTTTTTTTATATTTGGCACCATATATTCCAGAAAAAATGTTAATTGAAGAGTCAGTGATGTGATTAAATTTTAGATATCTCTAACTCACTTTGCATTCAATAGTTAGTTGTTACTCATAAAAAGGATTAAATTTTTACATTTGATGTAAAAGTGTTAATTAATGTTAATTACGAATAACTAATAAATCATCTCATGAGAATTATTACGTTTGGTAAAGTTTTATTTATAAGTAGCACAAAAACGACTACCAAGACGTAATAATCATTGAGATATACAACATACATATTATTTGGAAATATTAACTGAAAATATGATCTCACCTATTTCCTGCAGAGGTGAATTCTCCCCACGAATCTGCAGTGGCATTATCACCTTTAGAAGCATGAGCTGGAGATCCAGCAGGAGAACTACCAGGCGGAGCAGGTAGTTTACCTCCTGGAGGAGGAGGCAATAGTCCCAAGCCTCCACCATTACCAGACTTTACTTTTGTTCTTGAACTTCCTTCAGAGCCATCTTTCTTAGTTATTTTCATATTTATTTTAATTGTTTCACCTTCTTTAAAACCTAAGTCAAGTCCAGGTCCACTGGCAGGCTCTTCATTGATCTGTTTCTCCTTCTTAACCCACTTGAAATGGTCCTGAAGTGCTACATTCAAATCGAACGAATCAGATCTATCTCCAAACCCGACTCCAATAAATGCAGATCGCCCTAAAAATTATGAAAATATTTATAAATTTTTATATAAATACCCCCACAAACAAAAACAACCAATTTGTAACAGCACATTGTTAATCAATTGCCAAATTAATCATAAATTCAAATTGATATTTGTAGTATGTAATGTAAAACTGTTTTATATCCGCTTTCTGATGATGTATCATTGGAAAAATAATTAATAACACCAAAACAGCAGTGAATGTTTCAAGATATTTGTTTACTTATAAAATATTTAGAGTACTTTGGGCTTTCAAAGTCTTAGAGAAATAATGCAGCTAAATCTCAACTGGAGTATTCCAAACAAATTGTTATGTCTGTGTGGGTTTTCCAGTGAGTGGTATTCTAGTTAAATTTAACAACTTAATTTAATTACTCAAAATACAACTTCAAAACACACTTCAATCACGCTTCAAAATATGTGATGAATCAGCAGATACTTTACAGTTTACAAAACTGCAACACATGTTTCACTATACAATATCATTCTTTGGCATGTTCATACTTCATACAGTTTTCAGAAGACCCTGTTTCATATCTAAATGGTTTTCAGTAGTACCACAAGTGGTGATTTTTCGAACCACCAAACCACTTAGATTTGGAACACATTTCCATTGTTTTATTTATTCAAAATATTTCATGAATTAAGGTATGCCAATTCAAGGAATCACATAAAATAATATTTGTTTCAAAAAAAAACTACAAAAATAATTGTTTAAATTGAAAGGGATATATACTTATGAAAGATTCGTTTTTGGAAAAGAGAGGTTTTAACTTTCTACTTCTCCATCTTTGTACAAAGATTTTGGGAATCTTTCAAGGCAAGAAAGAAAGTAATTAATTTCAAAATAACTTTATACAAATATGTGCAGATCATGCATAGAAGTTACTTTTAGTTATAAATTGGAAGCAAAGAGCCCTATGGAAACAATTGATAATAATAATAATAATAAATATACTTTATTGTCTGAAGTCATACAACCTCATTGGCAAATGAATATTACTGGAGTTTTTTCCCAACACCAAGTGATCATCTTCAAGAGGAAGATCAGTTTTGATCACAATATAGTATATGGAAGAGATAAAATTTCACTTACATGAAACACTGTCATCCTCAATGGTGAACATCTATGTTTTGGGATAAGAAACTTTTTAAATTGAAATATAAAGAAAGACTGCTTTACCCAAACCATAACTAAAGAAATACAACACCAAGCGACGTCCACACTGACTGAGTTAGAATTGAAAAATTCTAGTGACGTAGACAATAAGACACTCAGAAAAATTCTTCAAGAACAAATCGGTCTTATGCAAGAGTGTTAGTTCCACACAGTCCCAGAGCACTAAAACATCTGATATCTAGTAGACTAAGAAAAGGAAAATTACATTGATATCAGGCTATAACGACAGGAAAATGGTGTAGAGTTTTTTGAAAAAAAAAAAACAATCTCTTCTGGGATCTGGCTGTAGGGATGAAGATTTCCACGATTCCACTATTGAACAACTAGGGCAATCTCGGGAAACAGTTATCATTCTGTGGTCTATAAAATATGACCTTATCGCAAAAAGTCTCAAAGAAACATCTGCTAATATGACAAAGAAGTCACATCTCATCTTTATCACCGAACCATATCCATATGATCTGAGAGAAACAACAAGAAGTTGATATATAAAGGCAATTTAAATATGAAAAGGCAATATCCTGGATTGTGATATTAGATGACAAAATTAAAACTTGATGGTTTTTGCCTCAGAAAATTGGCAAAGTAGTTTCCATATGGAGCTCTTCTGCAGCATATTGAAAATTATTTTGATATGGAGGACTCCAGCTGAACCAAGTTTCAAGACTGTCCAACATATCATAATAAACCAACTTTCTCCTTTCGAAAAATGGAACCAGACTATCACAAATATCGTTTTTCAATTACATTTCCATAAATGTTTAACTCAGGTGTTTATGTCAGCATTTGAACGTTCTGATTATATTTTGCTCTACAGGGATTTTAATATAGACATGGTCCTACTAGAGTATTCATAAATAAAAATCACCTTGTAAATTCCCACCAGTATCGATCACATGGTTTCAAGTTTTCTTTAGGCAAACTGCGAATGCAAATTAAATCAGGAAAATGTTACAAATTGAACTAATTATTGAGAGAATGATATTTCTTCAGTTCTAAGTTCTACATCCTGAAAATATTAACGAAGTCAACACTAGATTGCTGCCATAAAGATTTGAGTCCAATTTACATATTTTTTCAATGTTTTGATGTTTCATTTCCAGTAAAAAAAAAGTATTAAAGGAAAAACCTAACAAAAAGTAGATATCACAGGATATTACTGAAGGATAAAAGACACTAAGAGAGATATATTGGCTCCTTTCCACTACTAAAAGAATGGATTCTGCCAGGAACGTTAATCATCAGTTGGAAGTACATATCGAAGTGGAACGAAAGAAAAATGTTATTTTTATTTAAAGAATCAACAGGTTTGAATAAATAACAATAAAAATATCCTGAGTGGTCGAGAAACCCTCTTGGGCCCAGCTGACTGAAATATTTTATTGTTTATTTAACTAACACTTGATGTTACATTTTTTCTACTTCATGGAAGCCATCACACTTGTCCATTTTTTCCAAGTCTCCAGAAAACACTGCAGCCTTGAGAGCTTATTGCAGTATCCAGTGAGTAGCCCAGTAATTGTTCATTGTTGAAGCAGGGATTTCATTTTCCTTCTCGGACGGTCCCTTTATAAAGACTTTCCTGTGTGTGTTCCCAGGTGTGTTTTCCCAGTATTCTTTATTTTTCTCATAGACCCATTTCCCAATCTGGTTTTGTACCAAACATTTTGATACCTCTTTGGTGGCTCAGGGTTACATTAACATACGATTATTTATTGAATGTTGCAAAAGTAAAAAAGATATGGAACTATTATTAGTTAACAAATCTTTCTCTCAGATGAAAATTTCATAAATGCAGTTGAGCCAAGTTAGAAGTCAGTAGCGTCCCAGGCACACTGGTGGTTGGGTGAGATCTTTCCTGCACTTGTGAGAGGTAATACCCCAAAACCTGTCTGTAGGTTTTCAACTTGATTGATTTCAGCATGATCCTGCAGCTTAATAAAAGAGAAGCATCTGCGAGACTATCCTCTAAGCTAACTTCCATCGTGGTATTACGAGGAGAAGTTGTTGTTTTGAAAATTTATTTTCATAATATGTATGTATCTCCTGATATAGTCATCGGACATATTTTAATTTCTATTTCTATATTTGAAGATATCTTCAAATCAATATTAATCGTTTTACTCAAAGGAAAAATGAGATTTTTTTATAAAATACTTCGACCTCTCGAAAATAAAGTGAATCCAGCATTTATTGTTTTACTCAAAGGGAAAATGTGATATTTTTTTCACAATATACTTAGACCTTTTGAAAATAAAGAGGATCCAGAATTTTCTTTCAATAAACTACAATTGTCACATTTCATATTCAGTTTTGCAACAAAAGTACTCACCATTATCATCCATTATACGTAGAACAAAGTAACGTGAGGAATCATTCACAGATTCGATTGCAATACTAGGATATGCATCAATAGGACATTTAGCAAAAAGTTCTCCAGTATTCCGGTCTTCAAGTTTTATTGCAAGATCATTACCTTTCGATATCAATCGCATTCGGCCTGTCCATGCTGGTTCAGCTAAGTTCCAGTCAGCAGCCCTTATACAACAAAATCATTCTTATCAGCATTCTCTATTTATTAACAATTTTCAAAATGATTAAGTAGATGACAAATATATAATGTATGAAAGGGGAGTAGATGCGGAAGTGGGCGTATTGTTGATATAAAAATACAAAGTAGCAAATACCTGTAACCTCTATTCGTCGATCTTGGAGGAATGTTGAATACGAAAATTTCTGGTTTAACCAGTAAAACGCTTTCATAACTATCCATTGAGATGCACAAAATCTTTATACCTAAAGACCTCTTCACGAAAACAAATAAGGTACCAAAGCTATTTCAACTTCTCCCAAACAAAATTTTTGTTGAAAATGTCAAAACATAAAAATTTCAATTCTCAATTGTCATTGTCATTATATTAGACATCGCTTGTCAAAAATAAAATAATTTAAAGATGTTCCAAAAATAAACACTGTCAACCGCTAATGACCAAAAATTTTGACAGCGGTTACTTGAAAAATATATAGACGACTTGTTCCCGTTTATTAAAATTCAATTTACTCGTTTTCTTCAGCTGAAGTTTCATACCTATGCCGTGGGCCAATAGTTCTTAGTCCCTTGTTCAACTCATTTGAAAAATGTACATTGTATAAAAAAAGACCCCCTTCCATTTTTATAATCACCCATTCATAGATTTTATGGAATGTGGATAACACACTGGAGTAACACATATAAAATTATTTAGTATCAGGGGCTCTGCTATGGGGATTTTGAATTTCTTAAACCAAAGTTGTAAATACGGTTCATTTATAAAACTTCTAATAATGTCGCGCCGTGGCTTGTACATATGCTCATGACAATCGAACTAACTATAGTCTATTTCAAAAGAGTGTAGAGTAATAAATCATGAAGTGTCATAAAATTTGCCTGAATTTCGTTGTCGTCCATGGGCGTAGGCAAATCTTAGGATTATTAAACTTAATAATTAAAGTAAATTAAAAATTACAGACATAGATAATAATAAAAGGCCATTTTTGGGAAGTAATTTGGTCTAAAACTAAGTACCTACATGTATTTAGGTAAGTAAAATTTCTTAAAAAAAGATTAAGATTAATTTTAGTGGTTCTTGTTAACTTATTTAATATGCAATTTGGGTTCATATACTTGAGCATGATTTCTCAAAAAAGGGTTAACACTTAGTTCCGAGGTGCCATGTCATTATAATAATCCCTTTTTGACCCTGCCCACCAATCATGCAATACCTATTAAACCCAGGTAATTAAGAAAAAGGGTTTAAATATATTGTAATGGTGTCTTAAACATTCGAGTTATAATAGTAATTGTTACTACACCAATTAAACGTACAGTGATATTGTGATATAGAAATAGTGAAAAAGTTATAAAATGGGGACATTTACTCCAAAGAAAAGAAGTGTAAAAAATTCTCCGCTATCTGTTTGCGAAAAAGTTATAATTTTAAATGTATATGATTGCATAAAACACGATCACCCTAGTTTGTCTGTGCAAGAAAGTGTTGAGCGATGTGCCCGAATGACTGGAATTGGACAGTCCACGATTTTTAAATTATTGCGAGAAAGAAAGATATCAGGCCAGGTAAGTCCATGCAAGAGAAAATCAGGAAAGACCAATAAAAATCTTAGATGAAGACACCAAATGTGACATTCGAAGAAAAGTTCATTCGTTTTATTTTAAAAAGGAAATACCCACTCTTGAAAAAATATTTATCGAGATAAGCCAAGATAACGATATTCCTTTGATATCCAGAAAACTTTTATGGAAAACTTTAAAAAGTATGAATTTTGCCTGGGAAAAGCACAATCGAAAGGCACTATTACTGGAAAGTGATGAAATTGTTTGCTGGAGACGAAAATATTTGACAACTATAAAGCAGTACCGCAGAGAGCAAAAGAAAATTTTTTATCTTGATGAGACGTGGATAAACGAAGGTTATATAGTCAAAAAAATGTGGCAAGATAAAAATATAACAAGTTCTCGCCAAGCTTTCATAGAAGGCCTTTCGACGGGTATTAAAGTGCCTTCGGGAAAAGGGAAGAGGCTTATAATTGCTCACATTGGAAGCGAAGACGGATTTTTAAAAGAAGGTTTGTTAAGCTTTGAGTCGTGCCGGACGGGAGATTATCATGAGGACATGAATTCGGATGTCTTCGAAGACTACTTCGGGGAAATGTTAAAATTTCTTTCAGCTGATTCGGTCGTGGTTATGGATAATGCAAGCTACCATTCAAGGCGCTTAGAGAAGGTACCAACTTCAGCTTGGAGAAAGCAAGAAATTATTAACTGACTGTCAAAAAAAGGTATTCAGTTTGAGACGAATTCAGTAAAGAAGGAACTACTAGCCATAGTAAAACAACATAAATCTCGCTTCATGAAATATGCCGTAGAAGATGTAGCAGAAAAGTATAAAGTAACTGTGCTGCGCCTACCGCCATATCATTGCGAATTAAATCCTATAGAACTTATATGGGCACAAGTTAAAGGATATGTTGCAAGGCACTATACCACATTTAAAATGAAAGATGTCAAGGTATTGTTTGATCAAGCCATTATGGAAATTACATCAGAAAACTGGCAAAAAGCAATCCAGCATGTTTTAAAAGAGGAAGATAAAATGTGGGAACTGGACAACTTGGTCGATCAGGTGGTTGACCCTATAATTATAACACCAGGGGATGATGACAGTTCTTCGGATGAAGACTATACTGATGTAGAATAATTTAATTGAATTGTAAATATACTGTAGCGGGATAAGCAATCTGGACAGAGACCAGTGTATCAGTGACAGTGACACTTTTGCTTAGGTTAGGGTTTAGAATTAAGGGTAGTCTGAATAATTATTTTCTCGGAAGGTTCTCGAAAATTGTACCTAGTAATCTCTAGAACATTCAATTAGGGTATAAATAGAGTGTTGTTAAACGTTAAGGGAAGTTCACAGTTTTAGTATTGTTCAAGTGTCAAATTGTAATAACGTATCCAGTAAAGTTCTTGTCGTTTTTGTGAATAAATTGATTTAAAGTCCCCACAAGTGTTTCAATACGTAAAGTTCGTTCGTGTGTGTTTGTGAGTATTTCCCGATTTCGGTTCGTATATATTTTATTGTTACATTTTATATTTTTTTAATAACACTGTTCTGCTGTATTAAATTTTTATTTCCTTTAATATAATTTTTATGAATGCATATTCTTTTGGCAACTAGCGCGCCTCTGGCTCAGTATTTATCCGTCGATAACAATGGACAAATCCCTTAAAACAGGGTGATACCTACCTGCTCTTTATGAAACGACATAATTTTGCAATGCGGACTAGGGAAGTGACAGAATTTATTGACGGATCACCCTGTAGCGCTTTTGAATACTTAATGAGATTTTATTACTCTACACTCTTTTGAAATAGACTATAACTAACTATCCGCCACTGACAAGAAATCAAAAACACAGCATATAGAAGGCCGTCGAATAAATGGAGAAACGTAGGGAACATGAACAGAAATGGCCACAAGCCCCCCCATGCTCCCTCCCGGGTTGAGTGCCCTGAGATAAAATCTTCCCCACACGGTTACTGTGTGCAGAACATCCCATCTCGTCCATCCACCTGCACTCATATGAGTGGACCTCAACTTACTGATAGGCACTTCAGCAAGATTGAAATCTGACCTACTACGGTCGAAAGCCAGCCTCTAGGTGCTTTTGCTTTCTAATCTAGTATTTTATTGAATCGTGACTTTACTTGAATGTAATTATTGCTAGGACCCCCAAAAACCAGCCGGAGAAGAGCGTTTTCATATCGCGAACAAGGATTTCTCAGTGAATCTGCAAAAGAAGTGAGTTTGAAATCTAGTTAGAAAGTTTTAATACTTATCGGAGCCGCCTGATGGCGACTCACGGGGGTGGTCTCTGATTATGCTTGGTTGGCCTTCTGTGTTTATCTCTTTCTCGGAATCTTGGGTCATCCTTTGTTTAGATCGCATAGCGCTAGATTGGCGTGCGATCGGATTCTGTTGAACATGTTGTCTGCGTGTTCTCTCATATATATATATACTCGTTTACGTATTGTATGTTCAGGTCCATAGTCTCCCAGAGTAGGAAGTGAGCCACTTCCATTGAAAAATTACGGTTGAAGTGAGGTCCGCGACAAAGTGACGACCAATATACGGACCTTACTTCGTTTCGTGAATCAAATAGTTTTAATGAGTGTCCCACCACAAGATATTGTCATTTCGCAAAAAAAAAATTGGACCTCATTTGGTATGAAAACCCGTTCACCGCATATATTTCAGTTCAA